TAATTTTTTAAACATTTTCTAATGGTGGTGTGCCTTGAGATTTTTTTCATGAAACAAGTGTGCCTTTGCCCAAAAAAGGTTGGGAAACACTGAACTAAGGAATTGTGACTAGGCGTGACTCTTCCCCAGAAATGGGAGCAGTTGGTATATTTGCCTAAACTGGGCAAAGCTCCCTCCTTGACTGCAACCATTGTTCTTGAGAATCCAACAGAAAAACCAGACCCAGAAAAAACCCCAAAGAAACCCCAAAAAGGAAAGAGATATCCATCAAGAACAAGCAAAATCTCAACATCAGGAGAAGCTGAACACTGACATACACAAAGCATCTTCATCTTATCTGGATTACAGTGGTGCCTTGCAAGACGAAAAGAATCTGTTCCGCGATTCTCTTCGTCTAGCCGTTTTTTCGTCTTGTGAAGCAACCCTATTAGTGGCTAAGCGGATTAGCGCTATTAGCGATTTAGCGCTATTAGCGGCTTAGCGGCTAAGCTGTTAAAAGGCTTATTAACGGCTTAGCGGCTTTGAAAAGGGGAGGAAGCGGGGGGGGTGGCGAGACTCACAAGACGTTTTCGTCTTGCGAAGCAAGCCCATAGGGAAATTCGTCTTGCGAAGCGCCTCCGCAACGGAAAACCCTTTCGTCTTGTGAGGCATTCGTCTTGCGGGGCACCACTGTAAATTTTTATTCGTCCAGCAGATTACTCCTTAGCAGTAAGTAGTTAAAACCATCTCTCTCTCCTGCATGTTCTGCTCTCCCTATCCATGTAAGCCCATCTCTCTCTTTTGGTGTGATACCCATGTCTCTTTCTCTCCATCTTCGCTCCCAAATGATTCCTGTTATTGCCGACTGGAATTGCTGCTTTGTCTCAAATCCTCTTCTACTAGTTTTTAATCCAAGTTCTACCCACAATAAATCAATGCTCACTTCCGTGTGCTAGCAACACTGACAACTGCCTGCATTGCTGCTCTTCTGAATCACTGGAGATAGTACCTCTGATTTTGAACTACAATTACACTGTGTACAGAATGTCTCCCCTTATCAAAGGACAGAGGCCTAATGACTTTTGCAAAAAGTAGTAGTAAAGGAAGGCCAGCCATTTTGGCAAGACCACTCTCTCATCCCTCTACTTCCAGGCACTCATCGCAAGAGGCTTCACTATCATAGCTACAATACAATACATGGCATCTGCACAGTCAGGTATGCAATAGTTATTCTGTAACATGTCCACAAAAGAGAAGCATCTCAAAAGAGAGAGGGAAGCTTTTCTCAATGGATGTAAAGCACATCCTGAAAAAGGAACAAAAGGAACGATGGATAATCAAGTGTTTTGTTTTGAGGCAGCATCATTTTGTTAATTTGTAATCACCATTTCCATAGTTAAATTACAGTATTTGCATTGGGACATGGGACATGTGCCACGAATAAATTTCGGTAAGATCAAGCTAAGGTAAAACTGCAAGTTTGAGACCCAAGAAAACTGGCAACTTGAACAGGATGAGTCAGAGCAGGGTGTTTTACTCAATCCAGTTCTAAATGGTGAGTTACTTTTGTCATTACTATAATCTCTGGAGTGACAACACAGAGAGCAATTTTGAACATTCTGCACCTTTGTCACAGTTCTTTTTGGGACACACCGAAGTCGATTCAGAAGTGAGATCCAGCAGGTCAGATAAAAAAAGTAGTCATTCCTCTGCAAGCCGTGTTTGACAGGTGGCAAGATCCAAGACCATCGGAAAGCAGAGGGATTTGCATTCAATGCTAAATATAAACCCTGCTGCAAAAGAAGAATTTGAAAAGCACCAAGGAGCCATGACTTTATCTGTCCTGCACCTGACATCAAATGATGTCAGGTAGTTTCTGGTAGGTCATGCCCACCTGACCCAATGATGTTACGCGAGCAGAGCATGACCTCCCACAAACTACCACATTAGCCAAACGGCCTAATTTCGCCAGCCTGGTCTATATCAAAACTCCCCTGTTTGAAAAGCTGCATTCTCCTTCCAGTTATTAGCTATGTTTTGTAGAGATGAGGTATTATTCATAAATATAATTTATAATTTAGAGATTCCAGGAAATTGTAAACTCCTATATAAACGTATCAGCATTTGAGTAAATGAGATGTGATGTACAAGATTCTACCAGCAGCGCTATCAGCGTAAACTGCTGCATTGGCCACTTCATGAGAAGAGAAGACTCCCTGGAAAAGACCCTGATGTTGGGAAAGATGGAGGGCACAAGGAGAAGGGGACGACAGAGGACGAGATGGCTGGACAGTGTTCTCAAAGCTACCAGCGTGAGTTTGACCAAACTGCGGGAGGCAGTGGAAGACAGGAGTGCCTGGCGTGCTCTGGTCCATGGGGTCACGAAGAGTCGGACACAACTAAATGACTATACAACAACAACAATTGGAGCGGACTGCACACATTCAAGTGTAAACCCAAACTAAAAGGAATTTATGAATGTGACTCTTGATGGAAAAGAAAAATAATCAAAAGGCTATATTGGTAAAAAAATGAAGAACTTAGCCAAACTGCACCCTTTCTCACAATGCAGCATCATAACCAGCACTGGCATGTTCACCAGGCTGTTTGCCACCTCAGTAAGAAGCCAGTCAATGAAGGGTGTGGCAAAAGCCACCCCAGGGTGCAGACACATTCGAGGGAGTTGTTTTAAGTTTCAGATGCAGTGGGAGTCAAGAGTTGATACTAAATGAAAAGCTGGCAAAACTCTGAAGGCAGCAAGGTATTGGCCGCTCCAAGCATGAAGAAATACTAAATCACATTATGACCAAACAGAAATAGAAAAAGAAAATCGCACATGCCTTATGGAGTCTGAACTGTGGATAACTGACCAATAAAGGCATATTGGGATTGTGGTAGATAACTCAACAAGAACATTGCCCCCAGTGTGTGACAGCGGTGAAAAAGATGAATGCCATTAAGAAAGGAACAAAAAGAAAACTCTCAGCATTATAATGCCTGTATGGTGCAAGGTACACGGAATACTGTGCAGAGTGTTGATAACCAAACCCCGAGAAGAATAGTATAGAGCTACTTTTAAAAATCCCAAAGTATAACAGCATAGAGTTTTCGGGCTAAGAACAAGGGCATCTCACAGGCCATGTAGAAAAGGATAATGATCAATGTTTCTTCTCAAAATTTTATGATTAACTATCCACTAAATTCACAAATGCTAGAAGAGATAACCAGCAGTACTGGATATGATAAACCAAGCTATCTTCAAATCTTTAAAAGGCTACCACATGGAGGATGGAGCAAGTATGTTTTCTTCCTGCTCTGGAGGCTAGGACTTGAACCAATGGCTTCAAGTTACAAGAAAGGACATTCCAGCTAAACATCAGGAAGAACTTTCTGAAAGGAAGAGCTGTTTGACAGTGGAATAGACACCCTTGGAAGGTGGCAGACTCTCCTTCCTGAAAGTTTCTAAGCAGAGGTTGGATGGCATCTGTCATGGATACCTTACTTGAGAATCATGCATTGCGGGGGGTTGGACTAGATGGCCTTTGTGGTCCCTTCCAACTCTACAAGTCTATGATTCTAACAGCATGGGGAATGTGGGTGCCAAAACCCACCAGAATATAGTTAACATGGTAACCTGGTCCATATGGATTCAATATATTCCAGAGACTAGGGGTGGTATTGTAGGACCACAGAACACAGATTAATTTTTCCCCCTCTTGCCATGGTCTCTGCCTCTCTGGTCTGACAGGTTGTGCACATTTCTGGAGTATGTCAAACAATACTTGAAAATTGCTGAATACTTTACAATTGCTCCCAAGACTGCTAGAATAGGAATAGAAGTGTATACAGTTGGTGTAAACGCATACCAGGAACAATGTTTAAGTCCTCTCAACTTTTGAAATAGAAGCACAATACAGGATGGATCCATCAGCATCGCGTATCCCTTAAGAAATAGTACCACAAAAAACAGTGCTCCTAGTGAGTCTGTTACCAAATAACATTTTGTCCCCATGCTTTCAAACATGTTTCTAAAATGCTTTAATCTGCAAAAAGGCTTATCTGTTTCCATTTACCAATGTATACATATTCACTACTGATGGACTTTCAGAAAAGAAACAGTGCAAGGCTACAACCTTCTACATACCAATGGCAAACCATTTTAGCAATTTTGCCTTTTTTAAAAAAATCAACCTTTTAAATCAACTTCTTTAAGCAACCTCATTGAGGTTCCCTTAAGAGTGAAATTAATCTGACTATAAATTATTTACATTCTGGTCTAGAAATGTGCAAAACTGTATAAAAATCAGGGAAGTGGGCACCATTGGGAATTAGAAGTACTCTTCCTTTCCAACAAAGTTGTGCTCAACCCTCATTCTCCATTGCATTTATACAGCTACCCAACTACCACTGCTGCATCAGGTTAAGGAGGGAAACAGGGGCAGAAGCTGTTCCTATTGCTCAAGAGAAATACCGTATTTTTCTCTCTATAAGACGCACCAGACCACAAGACGCACCTAGTTTTTGGAGGAGGAAAACAAGAAAAAAATATTCTGAATCTCAGAAGCCAGAACAGCAAGAGGGATCGCTGTGCGGTGAAAGCAGCAATCCCTCTTGCTGTTCTGGCTGCTGGGATAGCTGCGCAGCCTGAATTCGCTCCATAAGACGCACACACATTTCCCCTTACTTTTTAGGAGGGAAAAAGTGAGTCTTATAGAGCAAAAAATATGGTACTTCCATAACAGCTTTTGCACTGTGCTGATTTTCAGAATGGTGGTATTTGGTATGCCGCCTTTTAAAAAGCTAAGGGCTCTCCCTCAGAATATACTCAAATGTTGTAATTAGGTTTTTAATAGGTACACATGAAGCATTACCAAGATCATTTTGAAATCATTTGTCCAAATTCACCAAACTCTCCCTTCACTTCCACAAGTGACAAAATGTCTACACTTAATTTTACGGTACAGTAGATTTACAAGAAATTAAATGAAGAGAGTTTAAAAAAAGAGAAGAAGTTACCATACCTGTCTACCAACATTCTCCTGGAAGGCAGCCTAAGAACAGAAAGAACAAACATACAAAAATGAGTCAGGTTTGCTTGCAGATAAATACTAGTTCATGAATTCAAAATAAACATGCAGCAGTATAAACGACCCATGGGCTTTATTTAAAAAAGTAAAGTCAGCTTTGCTGGATGAATATGCCCTCAAGGAGTTGTTGTCACTGCTACTTTATGTGCTAATGCTCTTTTAAATCTGCAGGTTGCCTGCCAACTGTTTAAGAATATGCATTTATTAAAAATAGGCACACCCACAACAGTGGCCTTTATTGCTGACACAGGGCATCCCAACAGAAATGAAAAGGCAATGCCCTAAGAACTTAAGTACCAAGAGAGGGTGGTTTTCCAACATGCTTCCGGAAGGCCTGTGTGTGGTTAATGTGCATTTCAGATTTCAAAGCTCATGAGCCTCCTCCTCTCAGAAGCTACATGAGGACTCTCTTGTCAGCAGCTTAGTTGGAATGTTCTTCCTTTATGGACTTCACTTTCATATGCTAAACCAGTATTTGTTATTCATATACATACATATAGAGTGAATGTGTGTGTCAAAACTTCTGATTTTTAACAGTACACTCTAGCGATCAGGAGATAGGTATTGGAAAGAATTGGAAAGTGGTAAACCATAGGTAGTGGAGCATTTTTACATTAAGGCAGCCTGACTAAATTACACAGCGAAGTTGAGATTTCAGTACTTTTACCTGGTAGTAAAGAAAAACCTGTGTTCTCTCTGAACAAACTCAAAGCTGCCACACGTTTTTGTTTACTAAACCTTTGCACTCGCCCTACCTTTGCCAAATTGTAAGACATTGAGAGTAGCCTTTGTCAGGGCAGTTTCCAGGCATGAGTAACCACAGATGCTAAGTTTACTTCACATCCTAACAGAACTTCACCATGCATTGACAGATGACCTTTGGTAAAATTCTCCTTACTACCCTATATGGTGATACAGGTGACACTGCTATCCTGAAGTGACAAGAGTTTATTCAGGAGAGGCTAGTTGTCTAGGTGGGTTCAAGCTCAAACACACCACAATGGATAGCTAAAGTACTCACTGGTATAAATGTAAACGGGAACAACTGCACAAAATAACAAAGCAGCAGTCTTGAAATGGCAGTGTAGCTCTATATTTCCAAGGCTACACTGGCTCTGAAATTAACATACTTTATCTTTTTTTTTTCCGGGAATAGTAAGATTTGGACTTAGGCTGTTAGCTAACATTTTTGTAGTGTCGTGTTTGTTTGTTTGTTTGTTTGTCTAAAGATTTCTCAGCTGCCCTTCATGAAAAAATTCCAGAGAGGTGTGAATAAAATTCACAAAACACAAATACTGTATAATTTTAAGGGTTGTATACAAATATTACTCAAATATTAACTGACCAAGTTAGTCATGTCCATTAATTTCAATGGGCCTACTCCCAAGTATGATGGCATTATAAAGTCAGTGTGCACTCTCCTTTGTACAAGCACAGCGAATCTCTACTAAACTGGGTACTTGGAGCAGGGCCTATAGAAGAACTTAAGATACAATATGCAGCCTCTTATGGGAAGAGATGTTCTTTGGGGGTATTTGGGTCCCAAGCCATTTTAGGGTGTGAAAGCATCTTAAATTAGGCTCTGAAGCAAGCAGACAGTCAATGCAGTTCTTTCAAAAGAAGTTATGAACAACTCTGACCATACAAGCAGGCAAATTCTACACTAACTAAAGCTTCCAAGACACCTTTAAGGGCAGCCTCGTGTATTATGGTAATCAAGCCAGGAGTTTACCACATATTAGATCACTACGGAAGGCTATCCCTCTACAGAAAGAGTCAAGAGTTGATACTAAATGAAAAAGCTGGCAAAACTCTGAAGGCAGCAAGGATTGGCCACTCCAAGCATGAAGAAATACTAAATCACATTATGACCAAACAGAAATAGAAAAGAAAATCGCACATGCCTTTTGGAGTCTGAACTGTGGATAACTGACCAATAAAGGCATATTGGGATTGTGGTAGATAACTCAACAAGAACATTGCCCCAGTGTGTGACAGCGGTGAAAAAGATGAATGCCATTAAGAAAGGAACAGAAAAGAAAACTCTCAGCATTATAATGCCTGTATGGTGCAAAGATACATGGAATACTGTGCGGAGTGTTGATAACCAAACCCCGAGAAGAATAGTATAGAGCTACTATAGAGTCAAAATTAGCAGAAAGCCAAAGCACTTTGGGTAATTGAGGCAATGTAGGCCTCAAGTATCACTGCTGGAACAAGGAGTACCTTCAAACTGCATACCTATTATTACAGGGGGAATTGCAATCCTAACCTGAACAGGATGAACACCAATTTCATGCATCTAATCCACCCATCCACAGTGCTTCAGTGACAATTTAATTAGCCATTATCTAACACCCTTTAGGGGTGAAAATATGTGTTTATTCAACATACTTGAAAATCCAAGGTCTAGCTGGGTGTTGTTTCAGTACTACATAGAAGGTCACACCAAAACTAGGGCTCTCAATAGCAAAGTGATGTGGTATACTGTTCTCTTGATTGAATTAGGAAGGGTTTGTACACCAGCTTATATACAGAGGACTGAGACACTCTCTTTTTCATTTCAACAGAGGGTGTTGACAGGGCCAGCAAAGCTTTTACAGTTATGCTGCATGAAAGTTTGTTTTTAAGTTTGCCTAACTTAAAATAAATAGGATAAACTGCTCACACAACTTGCATTAAGCAGGAGAAACTGGCTTCCGGTAAACCTCTCTCCCTACCATGGAAGGTATTGCAAACATTGCAACTCAGCTCATTTCTAAATATCCATGAGGTGAATACAATTCCCACAGACTTCAAAAGAAAACTGAGCACCTATCTTGGGACAGTTAAGTGTATTTTTAATTTCATAATCCGGCATGCCCATCATTTCAAAGTAACAAGCCTTAAATCACATAAATTATACTCATCAATTTGTTCAACACTCTAAAAACAACAATTGGGGGGAACGAATTCAGAAGACATATAAAACCACTGCAATACATAGATAAAATTTGAATGAAACTATGACTTCGTTGGAAAGGTAAGAGAAGGAATTGGTTAATCTCCCTCCCCACCCCCCTTTAGGTGTTGAGTCATTTTAAATCTGTCTTAGCTTGAATTGCTGGTAAATATCCAAAATGCTAGTGGCTACTTATTTCTGCTTACAATCTTTTGTTATGTCATGGGAAAATGCTACATTCAATTAAATAATAATAATCTACATAAATAGCAGCCCTTTAAGTTACTGATTCCTGATTTCACTATCGTTAATATGAAGGGTAATTCTACTTGCTGTATCAAATTAGCAACATGCCCACACCTGAGGCATGTGGGAATCACTATGTTATTTTATACACAGTCAGAAAATTTAAGTTCTTTAGAAAACTCTAGCCACTGTAGCCAGAAGCACCAGATCCCATGTGACAAAATATGGGCTTGCATGTAATTTCTAGGCACAGAAATCCATATCCAGCTTAGCATATGCTACTTGAGTTCCTTTCTCCTTATAGAAACCTCCCTATGGTTGTCAACAAGCTGCCTCCAAAGCTGCTAAGGGCAGCTTTCAGCATAATGTGCTACAAGAGCAACGTGAAGTAGGCAAAAAACCTGAAAGCTTGCTGGGAATATGCCCACCTAAACAGGATCTTTGAATCCGAGCCATAATCACAAAGAATCACACAGAGTTTTAATTTGTCTGTTGGCCTTGGCTGGATCTCTCACGGTCAAATAGCATGGCTATCATAATTTTTAACTGTCACAGACAAAGTAGAAAAGAGATAGAAATGGGGAAATCATCAGAGAAAAGACACAAGTGCAGAGTGGCATGTCTAACACAGAGCCACTCTGCACTTGTTGTGCCACCCACAAAAGAGGATCTGTGTTAAATTCACAAAGGTAGGAAAGAAGCCAGAGCAATGGATCTCTACCTACTCCAAGGATTCATGAATACTGACATAACATATAAACAAGCAGTAAAAATACATAAACATGCAAATGAATATGCACACAGTTGTGCCAAGGAGGTAAAGGCCTCTGTTTCCTCTCCCCTTCCACTCATGTGTGCATGCACAGAAGATTACATATGTACAGCTACAACCTATTGTTGGTGAGGATGAGACAGAGTGAGGGATACCCCTCATCGCCTGACAAGCTGAAATGCTTACAGTGATGGAGCAACTCCTATATGCTACACTCAGTTCCTCCCCTGAGTAGAGTGGCTGTTTAACATAGTGAATAGGTGCTTGCAGTATGGAAAAGCAAAGTGGTCCTTGGTCCATACATGATCTTGCAGGATCCCAATGATGGTCTGATAGCGAAGGGGATGTAGTTTTAAAATAATAAGAAACTCTCGTATGTATTTTAAAGAACTGTATGAGATTGAAAGGTCCAGTTTGTAGGGGGAAAGTCTATGGAATTCATTGGTACAAAGTGGCTGGCAATGTCTCTCTTAAAAGTGCTTGGCTTTAGAGATTAACAGGGGGAATTGAAATGTTAATGCTTTATATAGCATTTCTTTTTACATGTGCAAAGTGTATAGTCTGCTTTGTTTGTCTTGCAACAGCCAGTGAGATAGACAATTATTTCCATCTACAGAGGAAAAGCTGAGACCGCTATATCCATAGCCTTTATAAGCAGGAACTACTGGCAATCATTTAGCAAAAAAAATTGTATGAAAGTGAAAAATACTTTGACATATTTTATTAATTTATACACATACATGCAGTTGGGAGTTCTCAATCTCATAGAATATATTTATAAGTGTTACAAGCTTTCAATCTCATAGAATTCTTTGTTGCAAAAAGGAGTGCCAGTAGGTTGGACATGAAAGCAGTCTGTGTGCAGTGTTAGCCTGCAGCTATGATGCAGCATAAACCCATCGTGGAAGAATCTGTATGATTAAAATGCTGGAGTCTGATTTCTTCAATTAAGGTTTCTGATCCCCACCTGGAGAAGAAGCACTCAGCCACAATGGTTGTGGACTTCTGTATATGACATTTGGACCATTTACAGCTGCCTGCTGCCATCTTTGCCGCTGTCTGCACCTGCTGCTGGCCCCTCCCAACCTGGCCGGCTGCAAGCTGAGGGTCTCTTGGCCACAGCCCAGGAGGAGGAAAGAGAGGAAGAAGGGGATTGTGGAGGGCAGTTGAATCCTGAGATTGTGTGTGTGTGTGGTGTGTGTGTTGTGGCCACCACACAGAGGCGGGGGGGGGGGGAGAGAGACTGAACCAGGCATCTTGTAGGAGCTGTCCCTGTGAGAGGGTCACTTTTGTTGTATAGGAAGGGACACCCCCCAGGGCCATGGTAACCTTGCCCCCCACTGCACCTCCTGCCCCCAGTGTCACTGCTTGTCACACTGTAAACAGAGAGAGAGAGTGAGGAGCAGGAAACAAGGGAGTGCAGAAGATCAAAAAAAGAGGAGAAATAGCCATTGTGAGATGAGACAGAAATAAACATTAGTCATGAAATGGCCTCAGGCTTCTCCATTTGTGGAAACAAAGGCTGGGGAGAAGAGGAAGTCAAGGGTACTGGGCTGGGGTTTTTGGAGGGGGTTTGGTTGTGGGTGCTGCTTGCTGTTTGGCTTTATTTTCATCTTTATTTTCGATCTTGTTGAAATTTTATGTGGAAATTGTTCAGTTTGGCTGTGTATTTCTGAAGGTTGTATTTATTGTTCATTACTACTTTGTTATGTTGTAGTTATGTATTCCCCTCATGTTATGATCTGCCTTGAGGATGGTTTGAACCGTGGGAAAGGCAGCATACAAATAAATTTATGTTATGTATGGCAGCCATGTAGGAAAGGTGGAAAACAGCTTTGCACAGGCCAAATGTGGCCAGCTTATTTCAATACTGGAAACACAAAAGTCCATATAAATCCAGATATACTAAAATATTTAAACTAGAAATCACCTTAAGATTTGTACACTCAGAACTTGAGTTAAGCTACAACCTGACAGACAGAAATTTTAAAAAAAAAAGGGGGGGTAAATTCTTTCCAATTGGAAAGTAATTATATAAAACCTTAACAAAACTGATATTGCATGTTAGGAAAAGCTTCCTACCAGTAACTGCCACGGCTCAAAAAGGCCACAGTAGTGTCATAAAGTATCAGAAACATTTAGAACCTATTGCAAAACTCACAACTTACCGAGGCAGCTCTTCTGCAATTAATATCACGGTCAAATATAGCAGTTATAACCAGGGCACTGAAGACAGAAAGAAGGAATATATAAGAATAATTGACAATCGTAAGAATTTCAGTGTATTTTTTTTTAACACTCAGGCCACTGCAAAGTCAGGCATTCATTATCATGAGTAGCTGAGATCAGGCAGCCCCCCTTCCCTGTTGAACCTCTGGTGCTTGGTGACAAACTTTTCATTCAGCAGACATTTTGAGCAAGTTTTTTTTTAATCTTCTGCTTCATTTTTCATTATTGTATCCTTTGTAGCCATACTGTACAGTGGTACCTCAGGTTAAGTACTTTAATTTGTTCCGGCGGTCCGTTCTTAACCTGAAACTGTTCTTAACACTGAAGCACCACTTTAGCTAATGGGGCTTCCCGCTGCCGCCGCACCGCCAGAGCACGATTTCTGTTCTTATCCTGAAGCAAAGTTCTTAACCTGAAGCACTATTTCTGGGTTAGCGGAGTATGTAACCTGAAGCGTATGTAACCTGAAGCATATGTAACCCGAGGTACCACTGTACATCACTCAAGGGTTGTATCCAATGCTATTCCTATGCAGCATAGATACACTGAAGCTAATGGACATGACTAACTTAACGTTAACTTAGGTTCATTAATATTGACAGGTCTACTCTTGAGTATTACTTAGCTGTATACAACCCAGAGGTTACAGCTTTATGTACTTAAAGTTCCTTGAAGAATACTTCCTGTATTCTGTATTTTCTATACTTTCCATATCTGGGGACACCACCACTATTTTGACTGAGATCTGTCTGGATATACGAATTTCAGTACAGTTTAAGGCACACTACAGCAACAATGAAGAAATGGGCCACAATGTAATTAGCAGGGTCTATTCTACAACGCTGTACAACATTTATTAATAACCTTGGCAAGCATACTTAATCTCCCTCTGGCTGGACGTAAACTTCCCCTTTGTACCCGCAGTCTGGGGCAGGGAGATGTTCACAAGTGACATGACCAGAGGCAACCTGATCTGAGGGCTCATCACCAGGGCAGCTAGGACATCCCAACCTCTGTGGACCCTTGCTGCTTATAGCAAGGTAGGCAAGTGTTGCACTGGGTAGACCAGAGCAAATAGTTTTCTAGGCCTGCCTTTGGTGCATCATGAAAGGAGGCCCAGATGCAGAGAAGTGGACAATTTGTAGCCTGCCATCACCACCAACCCATTAGGTCCTATTTTAGATGCCGGTTAACAGAGCCAAGAAATCTTTTTTACTAGTTCTTCAAATATTGAGGGAGAGGATTAGGTTTCTGCCTGTTGTGGAATTGCCAAGTAGTATGTTATCTTTCGTATTGTCAGTTACTGGTAAGTCAAAACTGGCACTTGGTCATTAAGCAGGTACTATAATTAGGGGCAAGAAGGGGAGATGGGCTCTCCACAAAATCCACAACACCAGGCAGAAGGCTCATAGTCACGCAAGGAAAGCATTGTGATACACTAATGAGCAATTACACCATGAACCCATGCTTACAGCATCTGATTAAGCTATCGCCTCCCTTCTACTGAGGGAGTTTACATGAGACTCCACCAGGATTTCCCAACATAATGGAACAGCCAAAGTGGGATTTCTTTCACAAGAAAGGAATAAAACATGTTTTGACATATCGCGAGTTAATTGCATCTGATTTCCAACAGGTATGGCAAAGAATGGCTCACTCTTTCAAGTGTCAATGATACTTCTTATGTAGTATCCTAAAGCATATTAAAACTTTTGTTATGACATTATATTTGCTTTGCATAACTCAAGAGACAAAAAAGGTATACTGAAACCTCCACAATGAGGGTTGGCAATGAATGCTATTAGTGTGTAAGTATCATATTACTGAAAAACGTTTTTCCAACAAATCTAATTTTCATGGATGCGGAAGTAAATCTAAGACAGCCATCTTAAATTTCACTAAATCAAGGTCATGGAGCTCATAGTACTATGACTCTTGAATGGAACACAGTGGACAAAAAGTCACGGAAATTTGGGTTCATACTGTGAAGCTAAATATCTGGGTATCTAAAGTAGTTCAAAAGTTCAGCCGGCAAGGAGCTTGTACATGATGATGCAGATTATTTCATAAAAATTAGATATGAAAGTTAGCTATAGCCTTCTAGCTTGTAAATTAGGTGCCACTGCTACTGAACACAGTAACATTCAAAGCCAGGAAATATCTGCCCACTTTCCATTGCAATCTGTTTAGTTGCACACCCTTTCACTAAACAAAAGTTGGTGTCACTGTTTCCATTTTGTATATTTAAGCCCCAACAAGTTTAAAGGGCAGGGCAGGGCAAGGCAAGCAATCGAAAGTTTCGGTCAGGTCCCCCTACTTCCTTCACCTCTACTATTCTGACAAAAGAAGAGGCAGGAATAGGTGTGGTTTTCCAAGCCAGGCACTGCCCTGCTACACAAAAAGAAGGAAGTGAGAAACATTTCTATCTTCCCTACTGAGAAGAACTTATGAGCTGTGTGGGTGTCCACAAGTTGCAGAACCTTCTCTGTGGTAGCGTGAGTCTTAAGAAATGCCCAGCCCAAGGAGACTTATCTGACTCTTGACACAGGTGCTTAGGCAAACACATGGCTTCTCAAAAAAACAAAAACAAAACACCTTTGGGATAGATGGGTTTTATATTTACTGCTTTTCTGTGGTTTCAGTGAAGGTTATTTCCTCTTTTTAGGAATCACTGCTGTTTCTATTATATGGACTTGGTTTGAGAAGAACAGTAGGGTATATATTTACGGAAATGAATATATTTGATTAGTCTGTGTTTAGTTTTATGGTTAAGGACAGCTGAGCCCTGGAATGCCAAAGATGACAGATGAAGAGGGTCAGGCCTGCTTGATCCCCCAACCATTCATTTAGCACCATTCATATTATCCGGGAAGTGTACATTAGCATCAGGGAGATGGACATGCTGCTTCTCAGGCTATGCAGCAATAAAATGCTCAGGTTCAATGCTGGCAACCAGCCAGTCTCAATTCTGAGCTCTAATAGTGGAAGTGGTTTTGGAAGGGTGATAATTTTTTTTTTTAAGGTATCATGCAAGGCTCCATGCTGGCCGAAGCTCCTGACAAAGAGCAATCCTGTTGGGCACCAAACTCACCATCAGTTACAGCGAGTTATTAACACCATTTCTGGTATTAATCCTTGAACAGAAGGTTCTCTGTTTCTCTCTGTTGGTAACCGCTCACATTACAGTTTGCCAAGTGGAAGCACACTTGCCCTCATTTGCTCTTGGAGACTGCCATGATCTTTACAGGTTTGCTAATTTGGGTGTACAAAGGAGCCACTGGGGTCAAAAGCAATGCCAAAGTCATTATGACAGAACTATGAGTAGGCAAGAAGAGACGCAATGTTAAAAGGCCTCACTGAACTACTGCCACAAATCCTTATTTCTGCAACGAAAGCCAGACACACACGTTGTGAAAAATGGAGTCTGGGAGTGCAAATATGTTACCCAATATGTAACAGATATTACTTTTAGCATGAACTAGTCAGACAACAAAATATATTCCTCATGTACAGGTTATTCTCAACATTTCATCAGAGCACAAGATGTAGCTCTGAGCAATATTCATATTTCCTGATTCTGCAGGCTAATCTTGCCCCAGAGTCAAGTGGCTCCATTTACCTAAGAGCCACACCTTTCTTTTCTTCTCACCAGGCAGTACTCCAGGGAAGACTAAACTGCCTGCACTCCCACAGTGTCATCAATTTCTTCTGAGCTGCGGGTTAGTACTGTTCTCAAGCGTAAGTAAAGGAAGAGCATTCATGTCTTCACAACAGTAGACTTCATTTTCATCAGCAACACAACAATACAATTATCTAGGGATTCAACTAAACATAATTTTTAAGGATCTTTAAGATTTATAGAAACCCAGCATACAACAAACCTAGCTTCCTGCGCAGGAGCATTTCAAAAAACATTAAGCTATTTTGTATACAACTGCTTAGTGAAAAGCTACTGATTTTTAATTACGGCATGATTATAAGGAACAGCCTAAATTGATTAACCAAAACCACTGGAGGGCACCAGATTGGGGAAAGCAGCATTTCTGAATTTTACATGTCTACAATTTCCTTTTTCCCGCAAGTACAGAGATCAGTAACACTTTGTTCTTGCCCGAGTGCAAGTAGGAGCAACAGTACATGACCCTGGCTTAGGGATAAGCCCAGACTGAGGATTCATTATTTGTTTTGCTCAAACAAACCTTGGCTTCAAATCCCTGGTTAAACCAGGGATTATGGCTTGTTGCTGCTGCTCACCCTAGGGGAGAAATGAAGCAACAGCAGCTTACTATGCCATAGAACTGCTGCCACAGAATGCAAAGTCCTAGAAGATCACACCATGTAACCATGAAAGCATTATTTCAATAAAATGTTGCATACTGTACATGAGCAGCAAATTAAAAATTGCAGGTGTACCATTCTATGACCTGATGTGCACTGCAATATTTCTTCCAATTAATAGCGGAGGCAAGAAGGCATGAGGACGTTTGCAAGATTCATATGTTGCAAAATCTCGAAGGGACACAAAAGATCTCAATAACTGCACAAATTAAGCCCATCTCAATGCCTATATCCCTTAAGTTTACTTTCAGAGAGAGTTACATGCGAACTATACAATGAAGTTCAGCCTATTTCAAGATACCGAATTATTCAATTTTGAAAGGTAGCAGAATTTGTTTCTGGCTAAATATATCACTCTTCTCAGTCAGAATGAGTGACACACCTAAAGTTAGAACTGAAGAGACAAGAAAGTAAAGGCATATGATTAGTGTTTCTGGCTGTAAACCAAGGTGTGCTAATACAGGTGAAACTGTGTGTCATCCTGTGAAAGTTCCTGATTCTCAGCATAGAGCTTCATTGCTCCCACACTTCATTATTCCAAGAGGAAAAGACAGATAAACACACAGCTTTAGGGCCTCATTAGAAGAAATGTATTTCTCAGAAATAGGATGTTGAAGTATTTTCAACTAGTGCACTGCCAAGATGGAAGATTTGTAGCTAAATGCCAAGTTGCCACCAATATATGCAGACTCTGGCTAAAAAATTGATTACATAACAACTGTGTAAACACATGTTCCATTGATTGGAGATCTTGTGACATTTCTTCAGCTAAGATTGCTTGGGGTGAATTTTTCTTTAAGTATTCAAAAGAAGCAAAAAAGGATGTTTCTCACAGAGTTGACATGCATGATCAAAAACTTTTAAAAATTGCCCCCAGAAGAATAACATTTATTTATTACAAATGCTTCCTTAGGTAACTTTTCATCTACAAAGATACCAGAGCAGTATACAAAGGTAAAGAAAAATAAAACAACCGCCCCCCAAATATAATACAATATAAAGTTAAAACATCATAAACCCAAAAGACAATTTAAAAACAACAACAAGCAGAGCAGACTTGATAAATTCATTCAATGCTAGAATAAAATGATTTCCGAGACAGACATGTAACAATAACAGGTTCCAGTTTTAACCAAATTATTTTGAAAGTGGTAGGGGACTGTTTTTGTTTATATTGTCTTGACTTGTAAGCACTACTGAAATGCAAATTTATTCCATAGTTCATTTTCTGAAATCTGCCCCATCTATATGAAACAGATAAACCAAGCATTTCACTGTAGTAACTTACCTTGAAATCTGATTGACAAATGGTCTCAGTTCTAAGGGATCATAGGCACGAGCAAAAGCCCAACATACATAACAAGCAGAATCCCGAACGTTAGAGCCGACACTGCAAGCTCCTCGCTTCTCATCGTAGCTCAGTCCTTTTAAAATCACAGGAACAACTGTGGAGAATTTTTGAAATGAGAAAAAATAAACTGCATGGAAGTCATTCAATGAGATACTTGTATTAGAAATGGAATAAGGACAGTTGGTGAATGATTTGTGCAGGTGGTGACAGTTCTGTAGCAAAGGAGTCCTCCGAGATTCTTTTGTTCCCTGTAGCCTCATCCTGCATCAGTGGGGAGAGACAGTACAAACAAAATGGAGGAAGAAGGTGTGAAGAACTGCCTTGCTATTAGAGGGAAACTTAAACAAAAACTGCAGCAACAAACACCTCAACAAGTGGGAAACGCTCATTCAGGTGCTGGAAGGGATGAAGTGCACATAATCATTGAAATAAAATTGCGTTGTTTTTGTTTTCTAATTGAGAAATGCCAAGCATTGCTGCAAGGGATAGGGGAGCTTTCCTGAGCCTATTTTTCCTATATGTTGAAGGTCTGCATGAGTGCTTATGTAGAATAGGAGGGAAGCTCAGCTAGCAGTATCTGGGCTTTCTACAAGGCAGCTCAGACCTGGATGGAAAACAACTACACCTTCAGTTGACAATATGCTTCGAGTTTCTATTCTTTACAAAGGTAGCATTTCAATGATGGCTAAAACAAGAAAAATCATTAAAACAATCAGAAAACATAATCTCAGAAGTCAAGATTACCCAAGAATTGACTCAGTGGCTGCGTTCAGACATCATGATAAACCATTGTTTATTGTGATATCTGAATGCTTTGTCTTGTGTTTTGTTTACATTTATGGGACCTCATTTCACAATAGACACACAATATATTCTATCCACTGTATCTTAAAACCTGCCATTAAATGCCATTAAAATGAAGTTAATGGCATTCAACCAAGCTTTGTATTTCTGATTCCCACAGCTGTCCATACAAGAGTTAAGAGCCTTTTGCATTGCAAGCCTAAGCATTATTACCCAGAAGACCTTGGATGTGAGCCCCACTGAAGTCAGTGTCTGTTAACATGCAGTAGATTGGGCTGCATGCTGTTTTTACTGATTAAATGATTCAAACAATATTTACAGTTATCTCAACACAGATAAAATTCTAATGCTACAATAACACTAAGATTAAAGTTTGACTGAAGAACCTTTCTTTCTAGCCTATCATCTGTCTAGTTTTATTGCATAAGAGGGGCTTTATTTAACTCCCTTCCTCAAGCAGAGTACATCTTGCTCCCTCTTGAGATGCAGAGTTAGCATATTCTGTACTTGACCCACTTCTACACCTTCTACTGGTGTTGGCGAGACTTGGCCAAACCAAAAGGGGGGGGGGGCGTGTTGCAGACACCACCAAAGAGGTGACTGGCAGTGCTGCAAAACCCTATGCAAAGTGCTCTGTAAGACAGCACTTTGCAAGAGGCTTATGAAAACGTAAAGATCAATTGATTGTTGGTGCATACAGTCATACCTCGGGTTGAATGTGCTTCGGGATGAGCGCATTTGAGTTGCGCTCCGCGGCAACCCGGAAGTAACAGAGCGCGCTTGCGCATGCGCACTCAAAATGACATCACGCGCATGTGCAGAAGCGGCAAAAAGCAACACGCGCATGCGCAGACGTGCCATCGCTGGTTATGTTTGCTTCTAGATGCGAACGGGGCTCCGGTACCACTGTAGAAGCAAAAAAGGTCACATGGTCTGTGGCTCAGGCCTACAATCCACATCCAGTTCTCCATTCCTGCTCTAATAGTTGCTAGACACATGTAGTGCACAGTTTGGCCAAAGTTAAGTACTTTTGGATCTCCTTCATTTTAATGCGAGTTAAGTACCGTATCTGTTCAAATTTTCTCAGCAAATCAAACTGGTAACTTCTCCTTTCCTCAAAAGCATATACCGTACTTATTATTATTTATCAGTTTAATGTGCAAAACTGCTTTATAATGAGCCTGATATGAAGCTGACACAGGACAGACCAAAGAAGGCATTTCATATTGCCCATCACTGTGCTGAGCTAAGGTTCAACTGCCAACCTTCTGATTGGCAACCTGGTTTAGACCACAGTGCCACCCATGTCCCTCAAAGAGGAATTAGATAGCAATAAAGAAAAAGAAGAATGTTCCATCATTATTATTATTATTATTATTATTATTATTATTACTACTACTACTAAAGAAGAACTAGATAGCAATTAAAAAAATGTAATAACTGGCTTTCAAAGGACCTCCTGTATTTCATTCTAATTTTAAGGAATCGTGCACAAAAGGTTGAAATTATATAAGGGGTGTGTAACACAATGAAACTAAGGACTATACAAGACAACAGCAAATACACTAAACAGCAACCCTACGGTCTTACAGTTTTTCTTTACTTTTTCTTTTTTGGCGAGGCTGAGGAAGCTTCTAAATTAAACCTTTCACACAGTTCCAATGGTCCGATGCCAAAACCTACCAACCACACAGGTTTCCCTACAAGGCTTTCTCTTGGCATCTGCCAGTCAGGTAATATAGTTCAAACATACTGCTTACTGAACAGTATGTAATTTAATCAACTGCTGTAGCCTACAGAAATAACAGCCTGCAGGGGAAATAAAAGTCACTTAACTCTTATACTTCCCCTTCTTTCTGTGGTGAACAAGTAAGGGCCGGGAAAGAGGCATAAGCTTTAAGGGGGGGGGGAGGAGAGGCATAAGCTTCAAGTATTTCTGTTTTAGGAGGTACACATTCTGATGGGGGACACATTATGCCCCTTCTAGGGTAGTTTGTCCACCCTACATACACCTCCCCCCGGAGACACCCTCCATTGTCTCTAAGGCAGATGATGCCAGCACAACACAAAACACAGAAAGTACACAACACAGGCTTGTAATGTGTTCAATTAAAATTGGGAACTTCCTCACAGAGATGAGGTGTGATTATGGTGTAGTGGCTCAGACACTTCACAGTGCAATCCTACTGTACAATGCCTTCTTACTACTAAATTCAGTGGAGCTTACTACCAGGTAGGTGGAGTTAGGATTGCAGTTTAAGCCACAAACTGGAAAATCTCTGGTTGGAATCCCACCTATGCAATGATCTCAATAGACAGCCTTAGGCAAGCTGCCCTCTCGCAGTCCTCACATCTGAAATGAAGGGGTAATACCGCTTTCCTAATGACTGCAACTATGTGAAGCACTTTTGAGACTTGAAAGCACTGTATATCAAGGTTTTTTGTTTTTGTTTTATTAGCCTCTCTATCAACTTTGACACCATTAAGTCGAGCATTCATGTCTGGGAATTAATACAAATCACTGTACTCTTGGTCCTGCTTTTTAAAGGTGTTAGCTTGTAGTAACTTCAGAGATTCCTTTGCATCACATGGCTTACAAGTATGAACCAGCAAATGCCTATGGTATCATATAGTATAGAGGAGTTCTTCATGACACATATAATATTTTTAACATGTAACAGTGCACTCAAAATTTGATGCAAAGACAGTCCTTTTCAAGGATAAGTAATCTCCTCCAACTCTTCCGACCAGCAGGAAAGACAATAGCAGAAAATTGGAAAAGGCATGAATAGAATCAGCTGCCACACATCTGTTATTTGCACCGGTGCAGAATAATGCTTTATTGTCACAGAACAGGGCTAGTACTAATTCAGTATTGGAAAAAGTCATTTTTAGCAGTGTGGAGCAGTGGTTAGAGTGTCACACTATGGCCTGGGAGACCGGGGTTCAAATCCCCACTTGGGCAGGACTGAGCGACCTTGGGGCAGTCACTGCTGCTCAGCTTAACATACCTCAGAGGGCTGTTGTGAGGATAAATGGGAAGGGTGTGCCACCTTCAGGTCCCTGGATGAAAGGTGGGGTGTAAATTTAATAATAATGATAATAATGATGATTATAATAATGATAATAATAATAATGATGATAATAATAAGTGCCTAAGATGAAAAAACACGTCCTCTAAGGAGGACGAAGAAACTGCTTTTAAGAGGCACAAAATTACCCTACACGGGAAAACCACATCGCAGGACCAAAAGTTTGGTATTCTCTTTTTTGTTTGGTGAAAGAAAATAAAACAACCTGACAGCACTAAAACTGTCTTGAAAAATGTAGTTTAACTTGTTCCCAAGTGTGTTGAATAAACTGGTGAAAAAATGGATTTAACTGGTTATACAAGAACACAAAAAAGCCCCTGGAGGCAGTTTTTGAAAATCTGCTGTAAATTTTTTCTTGTGGAGATTAAACATTACTGCTACTGATATTACTGTTTACGCTGTACTTTCCACCTCAGACTTAAATAAAACCAGGGGGAAATGTTGGTTTTTCTAACAAGTGTAGAAAGAAAAGCTCTATTGATCATTACACGATTCTTCATCTTGGGAAACACAGATGAGAGGTGTCAGGCAGGAGATACAGTGGTACCTCGGGTTAAGAACTTAATTTGTTCTGGAGGTCTGTTCTTAACCTGAAACTATTCTTAACCTGAGGTACCACTTTAGCTAATGGGGCCTCCCACTGCCGCCATGCGATTTCTGTTCTCATCCTGAAGCAAAGTTCTTAACCTGAGGTACTATTTCTGGGTTAGCGGAGTCTGTAACCTGTAGCGTATGTAACCTGAGGTACCACTGTGCTACATTTTGTACTTCAAGAAAAGGTTAGGCTTCTGAAGAAGCAATTCCATGTCATAATAAAGTTGTTGATTATGTAGGCCATGTATAGAACTCACCTTAAACAATGGTTTAGTGTGGCATGGTTATTCCCCCCCCCATGCTTAAGCACTCTCCCCTCCCCTCTTGTCCTCCCATATATACAAGAGTTGCAATTCAGAAGCTTTCACTTCTGCTTTTAGCAAACCACAGCTTCCTACATCATCCCAACTGGAAACTATGGTTAAATATAAAGTATGATTAAACAAGCCAGCTTCAGAAACCATGTTTTGAAGGTGGCTTCTTTTAAACTAGCCATAATTAATGTCAGCCATAGTTCCCCCCCCCCTTCAGATAACAGGACTGAAAGCGCAAAGATTCCCAAGGTTGGGAGGTGGCTAAGTTCATTTCCATTGCATTAAGCCGT